AACTTTTACTGTTCTTTAAAGCTGCTTCCAATTCTGGAATTTCTACTAACTTCATATTGGAAAGAAAGTTTTGTACTCACCCGACAGATGATCGTCGTCAATTGGGTAATCCACACTTTATAAGAGTAATCCAATAAATCGAATAACTTATGAGAACAGTTCACTCAGTAGTTCAATGCACAGTTCATAATGTCACTCACACATTTTCCAAGTTCGAGCCGCACGGTTGGTCGCCATGTTTTTTTGTAGACTCTGACTTAATTCACAGCATGAGAGCCCGAAGTAATATTTAAATGGTTTATTTAATAGGAAGAAATAAAAGTAATTAAGAAAAGTATATAAAGATGAAGTTAACGGTATGCTGGATTAATATAATGATGTAGTCCCTTTTACACCTAAAGGCATAACATCAGAAGCACAATCTAAATTCATAAACTCTTGAAGACGTGTGAGCCGTCTGCCCTCCGCTCTCGACCAGGTCTCAGCGCTGTCTGGGATGATTCTTACTGCGCTGGGCTGTGATGATGATGTCATCTGGTATTCTAATTCAGCATTGGATGTTGATGTACATTGCTCAAAGTATGATAAACTCATTAACTTAATAAAAACTATAAAAAGGTTCATAGTAATTTTCAGGAGCATTGCCTTATCGAATGCATATAAATTTAAAATTGGAAAAAAGAATTATTGTTATTTAACTTATTCATATAGTTATAGGTTCAGTAGAAAGGGATAGGAAATCAGAATTTCATCATTAGTTTTACTGGGTTTAGTCCACTGCATTAACTATGCAGCTCTGCCCTAATTTTTTGATGGAGATTAAGCTGGGGGATGCATCCAAGAGACTGCTATTCCTCTTCTCTTACTACCAAACCACTCGAGAGGACTTTATGCTTGCCAGCATTTTAAGTGCCCCATACCTTAAAGAACTGTATGCTTACAAATGTCCATGTCTTCTCCTGTATTTGAATCTAAGCAAGCCAACATCGCCAGCCACAATACTGATCAGAGCAGAACTTGTTCATAGATTGAAATCCTTATTAATTGCATTTAATCTGTAGTTTGATATTGAATTGATGATTTTAAAGGTGGAAACTCAAAACAAAATGAGCTGCACACTGCCGTGTCATATTTCTTTTTACTCCTCTCTCATTAAGAGGAGAATGCTTGCTGACAAATGTATTGCATCAGTTGAAAAAAACATGGACAAAAGTAGCTTTCCCATGCTTCTCCTTTCCTCACACAATATAAGAGACTAGGAAAATTGCACATAGTTACAATATAGTTACAAAGAGAGAATATTCACTGTTTACCTATGAATTTAGATTAATTTATTATTATTTCTAAGTATGCTAGAAGCGATTTTTCTGCTTTCAGCTTTATATTATATTAATTATTTATAATTTAAGATTGGCTAATCTTTATTTCTAAACTTCTTTTAAAGTTCAATAGGATAATAATGTTAAACAAAGTGTTTTTTTTTTTTTTTTTTTTTTTTTTTTTTTTTTTTCCCCCCGGTCATTTCAGTTATTTGTTAGTGACAGAATAAGTGCTTAGACTAAAGATGAATTCAGCAACCTCATTGTGCAATTGGTATCTGTTTTAAGACACAAAAAATATCACTGTTATATTAAAAAAAAAGCTTAGAGCTTTCCACACATTAGCGATCTAGAAGAAATTTTCATTTAAATCAACAAATGAAAATACATAAAATAAAGTTTAGGAAAAGTGCAGTGAAAAATTTCTAGGGAAAAAAAAAAAAAAAAAAAAAAAAACTTGTCACATAGAGATTTTGACCAGTCTGCTGTTATCACAAATGGGTAAAGTTACACAAAATTATGGAATTTAAATAATAGAAGAAAAAGAGAGCAGAGTTGTCCCTGTCTATTTGCTATTGTTCAGAATGATTGCAGTTTAAAAGATAATGTGAGTACTATCAAAATGAAACAGTGATCTCTTTATTTAATTAAAAAACATAGTTAACTACTACACAATAGTAAAAAGACTTTTTTTCTAAATAGAATAGACTATTAATTGAAAAATGTGATATCGGGTAAGTGTATCGTGAACTTATAATATATCAAAGCAGAAATGCAAAAAGTTTGAATTCGTGAACTTTTAAAATGAAGGTATTTTCTTCAAGTCCAATTTGTTTGAAATTTTATTTGATAAAATTTAGAAAAAAAAATTGATTTTGAATATGCACTAGTCTGTACTGCGAAATATTTGAATTGATTTTTCTTTATTTCTTTCTTCTTTTTTTTTTTTTTTTTTTTTTTTTAAGTAGAAAATTAAACTATACATGAATTAATATTATGTATAAATAATATCAATATTAAAAACATTAGGAGTGCAATGTTTACTTCACTAAATCTGTCAATATGAACATCAGTTGTAGCAGCGAATGACATTTTTAACCTATAAGATTAATTAGTAATTGAATAATAATATAGTTGACTAATTGATTATATCTGAACATATATTATAATGTGATCTTAATAAAACAAGCAAAGTTGAACTGAATATAAATTGTTTAAATATCTTTTTATTAAAAAATTTTATAAAAATTTCCACTTTAGTTCTCAGAATTGATGAATTTTTAACTTTGATTGCACACATTTCATTATTTTACATGCTGTGCATTATTTAACAAAGTTTGTATGCGAACAGTACAGCAAGCTTTGAATTACGTATAATGCTAATTCCTGCATATTAAGTTAATTTTAAGAGTGTGATGTTGAGCAGCATGCTCTTTGTAGAAATTCAGAATATTCACCTGATAATTTTTTATCATTGCTTTAATTTTTGTTAGAATGTATTAACTTTATGCAGTTTTATAAAGTACCTAGGTAATAATTTTGATAAATACTTAATCTCTTGTACTTCTTAATAGACATTTTGGATGTTCTGTTTATATACTTGGATATACAGTGACAGCTTCTTGATACATAATAAAGCATAATTTTTATAATTCACCTAATTTGTCATTTAGGTTTTAGATTATCTAACTTGGCATTTAGATTTTAATACTTGATACGCTTTGAATCTGAAGAAAAATTTAGATCCAGATCCAAGTTCAACTGAGCTCTCAATCTAAATTCGCGTGCTCGATTTCACTTATAATTTATGTTTTGTTTTGAATATTATTCTCTGCACTGTTTAAAAAATACTTTATCTCAAGAAAAATAATATATGTTGTTACACATAACAAAATTTTTAGCATCTAAAGAATGAATAGAAGGGATTTAAATATTCAAATTAATAGTTAAGTTTGCATAACAGTAAATTTATGTTCATAATGGAATTCAGATTAAAATCTCAAATTTTTTACGCAATTTTGGCAAAACTAAACTCCTTTGTATCTAGTTATCAAAGATGTAGCATATTTTTAATTTGTGTCATTTGATTTATGTTTAATGTTCTTTCAATTTGTCATTAAAAATTTTTGCACATTTATTTTAAGTTATTCACCAGACAAAATGTATGTTATATTCTCTTATTTACTGATAATTTAGGTTCATTTAAGTGGATCTGGATGGTCACCTGTGGTAAGTCAGATTAATTTTGTTTTTAGCTTAAGAAAAATTAATCTTAAATAATACTTTAAAATAAAATCAATAACTATTTAATACCTAAAAATAGTACTTTTGTTTCAAAACAGAAGCTTTCTCTATATATATATACAGTCAAAAGTCGTTAATCCGGACTCGTCGGTTCCGGATTATAGATCAATTTAAATCTCGTAAGATGGCATGCAGAAATTCTAAAATTAAAAATATGAAACCTTAATTTATGAAATAAAGAACAATTATAATCTAAAGGGTATCAAAATTTACAAAAAAAAGCTTAATATTTATTTGTTTATTTTATTAAACATTTCTTTCGATGTAAGTTGTTTTAAGTTGCTTCGTTTTATGTGATAATATTTTCTCTTTAATTCTATAAACAGACACAATTTCTTGTTCAGTTACAAAGTTCTGCGGTTCAAGTCCCGTTAATTGTTGTGCCGAGAATACTGACTCACTTGTCAATCGAAACTTTTTCGTTTTCACTAGCCTCTCTGTCACATTCTTCATGTCTTTATCCATTTTTTGCAGCAATTCCACTTTTTGTTTGATGGACATCGAAACATATTTTCGTTTTGTACGATCCTTTGGGAGCTCCAGAAACGGATATTCTATTTGACATAATCAAAAGTTTAAGTTTACTTTTATAAAATTGCTCTTACAGTCCGCAAAAAATAATAAACCGGATTTAATTCGAAGATTAAGAAACAACGCAATTATCAACATTAACTGAAATAGATAATTAGATAATTTTAGATTATACCGTCCGTTATACATAAAACGCGCACGCGAAAACGTATTCTGCGCTTGCGCAAACGCATATGCGCAGTGGTAAAAGGTCTTACGCGCACGCGTAAACGCCTATGCGCATGTGTCAACGCGGCGCACGCGCAGAAAGTTTTTAGCTTTGAGGTCCGGATTATGGGTGTCCGAATTAACGACTTTTGACTGTATATGTGTGTGTTTGTGAATGCATACAAAAGTCCTTACTTAGCCTTTATTTTTGTAACCGTTGATTGTAGACATATATATTTCCAATTACAAATGTTTTAAATGACCCAAAGATTTGTGTGTCTCTTGTATTTTTAAATTAAAAAAATAATTTTGTGTAAAATACAAAATCTATTCTTTTACAAGGTTTCTCTAGTCTGTATTATTCTGTTCAAAAAATTGTTTATTCATTAAAAAAAAAAAAAAAAATGAAACATAAAAAGTTTGGTTTGTATAGCAACAAAAGTTGATTAAGCTATTTGATACTAAAATCAGGAAACATTCAGTGGCTGTACACACAGCTGAAGAGCGAATGTTTGCATTTATATATAACTAAAAATAAAATATCATCAAAATAAAATATCATAAACTTTTTTATGCATGTGTTTGAATACATTGTATTTTTCAACCAATATAACTTCATTTCTGGCAACTCCAGCAGACCTATAATAATGAGTATGCCAATAACTTTTTTATTTCTCCTATTGTAACAGGCATCCAGGTTTGTTGGTGTTTTCTGGTAGTGAATAAAGAATTATTTTCAACACCAATGTTGGATTGTTCAGCATATCTTTTTGTTTTATTCACTATTAATTCTAGAACATTGTCTGACATAAATAACTGGTACAATGAAAAAGGATCATCAAAATTAACATTTTCATTCAAAAATTCCTTGTCTTCTGTATACTGACATATCACACTGCTTCTTCCTATGACCTGCTGCCATTCTGTCTTATCATTTTCTTCTGAATCAGCTTCTAAAAACTCTGGCGTCATAGTATATTTATCAGATGTCCTAAATGAGTCACTTTCCTCCAAATCATAAGTATCATTGTGACTCTCCTCTGAAAAAGATGAAGTATCATTTGCCTTGATCTTTGTCTGTGGAACACAATTGTAGACTCATCTGATGAGTCATCTGTTATCGCAAAATCCATTTTCTAAAGGGTGAACATTTTAACATATTACATATTTTACCGGATGTCTTATAATTCTGCTTACCAGAAGAAATCAATACTATAATATACTATAATATATAATGTTTTTAAATTTCAAATTCTTGCGTACAGAATGAAAAACAAAGTTACATGCCAACAGAAGTTCACTATTAGTAATCCATAAAGAAGGAAGAATTATTCATCAACACTTAGCTTTATATATTTACAGAACCAATATAGGTGCAAGTGTTTGCCAAATATAGAATAACAGAAAAAAGAAACTCCTCTTATACAGAGCTTTGCATATACTAAACGTATAGTAAAAGGAAACTGCGCTTTTGCATCTGAAGTTTTGCTACACAACATTGTGTGCAAGGCACCACCAGGTAAAACATAGTACGATTTTTACTGCCGTCCGGTGGCACAATATAGCAAAATCTGTGCCACCCTCAATGTGTTAATGAAACTGCGAGGACAGCATTAAAATAAAAATACAATTTATGCCATTCACAGAAAAGTAATTTGTGCAGGAGCACTGTAGCAGCATTTCTTCCCCAGCAGCACTGCCAGTAAGACTGTGAGGGGAGAGAGTAGTTTGTGATGTAAAAACATACACATGATGTGTTTCTGTTGCTGATTGTCTGATACAAGGCATCTCTCCCTGACATAAATGAAATGCTTCAGGATATGCTCCCAGTAATGAAGACACAATTACAAATCATAATAAATATTTACAATATGCAGAAAATTCAAAATTAGTGAAAAACAGAAAATGAAGTATAATGTAATAAAAATATATACATGGTCATAGATGCAGTAGCAAACATGTGCATAATACAAAGTATTAAATAAAGTAAAAGTTTGTGCTCAACGAATGTAGTCTGTGACTAAATGCTTAGAAAATCATATCTTAGCCCACTCTTAGTGGTAGATGTTTGATTAAAGCATCATGTGGATTAGAGGGGGCAAGGGGGGACATCTGTCTATGGGTGCAGCATCCAGGGTATCAAACTGATTTTACAAAATTTTAGAATTAATTATTTTCCATTCTTTCCAACAGGAGGAGGTGCAAAATCATCAGCTGTCCTCAGGCTCTGAAAACCCTAGCTGTTCGGGCGGGAGCTGAAACTGTAGTATTTTTTCCGTTTACATCAATAATAAAATTCGTATCATTTCTGTCATTGACTAGGTCCAGTATAAGGTGGTGGAATGCCAGAGTGTCGGACTTTTTACTGCTGCCATCTAGGGCAGTAGAAATCGGGTTTAAAGACCTCACTGTTTGAAGTAAACTATTGACATATGCGAAATTTAAGATCTGATGCATCACTGGTTACTAGATCAGAAGGTAATCTTAATGTTGTGCCATAAACTAGTTGAGAAGCTACTTTGATATCCTCTGTAATGGCTAAGCATATGCCTAAGAGAACAAGTGGGAGAGTTTCTGTCCATTGTGCTGCATTATGTGCTTAAAGGCCTCTTTTAGGATGCCAATAGAAGCAATCGATAATTCCATTTGACCAGGGATAATATTCAGAGGTTCAAGTCCTGTTGCACTGAAGCATGCGGGTAAGTTCTCTTAAAAGATTAGATTTAAAATTTTTATCCCGCTCAGATGTGTGACTGTGTGCATCCAAATCTGGATGTCCATCCATGTACTAAGCCACAAGTAGCTGTTTCTGCAGTCATGTGAGTTGTTGGAATAACTTCTGGCCGTCTTGTGAACTGGTGTGTGATAGTCATGCAAAACTGTTTTCCATCAGATGGAGGGAGAGGGCTTATAAAATATATATGTGGGAAAAACAAGCATCAGGTTCAACAAACGTGCCAATAAGGAGCTTTGGTATGTTTAGCAATTTTATCTCTTTGACATTTAACACAGCTGTGCACAAACGATTTTATTTCTTTTTGCATGCTTGGCTATATAGAACATTTAGCAATTAAATCAAGGGAGGCTGAGATACCAGGATGAGAGGAAAATGTAAGGTTTTGAAAACTGCTAATCTCATGCAGTGGGGAACAAAAGAACTTTTGTTCGCATGAATAAAATACTACAGTAGTACCATTGTAATAATCTGTGTGTTTAATTATTCTCTTTTTTACACACAAGCATATACACACATAGTTCCCAGGTGGTGCTATCGTTGGGTCTCGGCAACTGTTTTCTTTTCTCTTTTACAAGCAAAAAACATGGCAGGTGCATAAAGGAAAAGTACCATAAAAGGCAAATGAATTAAAGTAAAAATTTCCAGTCTAAAATTCTAAAAGGAATCATTTTATTTGCTATGTTGAACAGTAGATGCGTGCATTTAAATTATGTGAAACTGTTGAAAGAATAAAGGGCATTCCAGGCATAAGCACTGAAACATTATATTCGACTGCGAAATTCCATCGACCGTGAAAACTGGCAGTTATCTCACCAAACTTGCACCAGCCACACTGCAAACATTTGAAGAAGCTGATTGCTTTTTATTTAGTTAATCAGAATATACAAGTTAAATGCATAACATATACAAATTTAAATCACTTCTCATAATTTTTTATGTTGCGTAGCCACTGTTTATCCATTTTCACAGTTTTTCTTGCTGCCTAGATCCCATTCTACTGCATTCTATTTCATTAAAGGCAAATCCCAAATTTTAATAATTTTTTTTTTTTTCAAAATGTGATTAAAAAACCTGGATGAACAGCAGTTAACTTATTTCATTTTTTTACAAAAATTAAACTGACTTATTGAGAAGTAATTGGGTTTACTTCAGTGGTTCTCAACCTTTTGACTAACATGTACCATCTAAACAAAAATTTCAAAACTTGAGTACAACCACTACATTTTGCAATGATTATTTTTCAATTTTTCAACAGAAATATTAAAATATATGTATATATATTTTGCCATTTGTGCATTTCTATTTGTATTAAATATGCACATATAAAAAAAAATAAGTTAAAAATTGGTAACTATTTTAATTATCAAAATTTAAGTTATATTTTAGTTATAAAATTTAGTGAGAAATGTGGGTCTCTTTATAGCCCCTTTCATATGCAATGCTCTTTTTGCTCAACGCTTCACATGCCAACCACAGTTTGTATTAGGGAGAAATGGGGATATGAAGCATTTTCGCCTTCAGGACCAGTTCAGATGCACATCGTCTTCCATCCCTTAACCCATAAGCCACTGCGAGCAATGAATAATGTCACAAATGCGAATCAGACTAGCGGATTTCTAACATTTACTTACACCTTTTTTGACATTCTTTACTATTGCTATAGAACGCCATCAGAGTTTAATTCTTTAATTAATTAAAGTACACCTAAATTAATCTTAAATGCAATTTATATACAAGACAAAATGATTAAAAGAAAAAAAGAAACCACATATGCTGCTGAGCGGTTTCAAATAAAATGTTTTCTGGCTGCTCAAATTTCAAACTTTGCTTTTTGAAAAAATGAATAAAATGACAAATTGATAGCATTAATATTAATTATAAATGTTTTAATATTGATTATAAATGTTTTAGAAAATATATTATAATTAGTTCATCTGTTAAAATTGTTTTGAACGTGTTTTACGAAGATTATAAATAAAAGTTTCTAATTTATGTTTATATTAAATAATTGAATAGCACTAGGTTTTATTATTTATATATATATATATATGCACAGTCAAAAGTCGTTAATTTGGACACCCATAATCTGGAATGATCTATAATCTGGACCTCAAAGCTACAAACTTTCTGCGCATGCGTCAACTTGACGTTCACGCTTGCGCATAAGACCTTTACGGCTGCGCATATGCGTATGCGCATAATACGTTTACGCATGCACGTTTAATGTATAATGGACGGTATAAGCTAAAATTATCTAACTATCTATTTTAGTTAATGTTGCAGATTGCGTTGTTCTTTAATCTTCGAATTGGATCCGGCTTATTATTTTTTGCAGACTGTTAGAGCAATTTTATAAAAGTAAGCTTGAACTTTCGATTATGTCAAATAGAATTTCTGATGCTGGAGCTCGCAAAGAATCTGCAAAGCGAAAGTATATTTCGATGTCCATCAAACAAAAAGTGGAATTGCTGCAAAAAATGGATAAAGGCATATCCTTTGTTTCTCTAACCATTCCGAAATCTGTTTATCAATTTCACACTGCTCTGTGGCCGGGGGGGACGCAGCGGTGCATAATGAATTGGAAGTTAATCTGTCAGCACTATCCTTATCTTCAGGGCAGATGTTTTTATTTTATTTGGTTTATAATTCCTTACTAAATGTAGTATTTCATCTCGATGTACTCCGTCTTTGACATGATCTAAATCAAGTTATAATTTAGTAATTATAATTCGCTTCTAATAGTGAAGAAAGTGACACAGAGGTTATTGAAAACGAAAAAATTTCGATTGACAAATTAGTCGGTATTCTCGACACAGCAATTATAGGAACTTGGACAGCGGAACTTTGTAACTGAACAAGAAATTATGTCTGCTTATAGAATTAAAGAGAAAGTATTATCACATAAAACAAAGTAACTTAAACAACTTACATTGAAAGAAATGTTTAATAAAGTAAACAAATAAATATTAAGCTTTTTTTTTTTTGTAAATTTTGATACCCTTTAGATCATAATTGTTCTTTATTTCATAAATTACGCTTTCATATTTTTAATTTTATAATTTCTGCATGCCATCATACCCGATTTAAACTGATGATCTATTTATCGGGAAAAGTCAGTAATACGGAATAACCGAAGTCCCGACGAGTCCGGATTAACGACTTTTGACTGTATATAATATATGTAATGAAATTTGGGCAATAAAATTTTTAAGAAATTTGAAATGATTTAATATTTCATATAGATAGCTTATATTGTTTAAAGTGTGTTTTTTCAATTTGCATTTTTTCGATAAATCCTGTTATTTAAAGTCCTAAAACATATAGATATGGCCTAAATATTTTTACCGCTTTATTAAAATTATATACTTTAGAGAAACAAGAATGGGTTTTCCAAAATACTGAAAAGAAAAATGATTTGAAGTGGAAATGTGATTGAGATTATATTTGTTTCAAAGTTTTTGCATAAAATTTTTTTTCTCAGATACTAATTCCTTAATTACAAAATCGATCCTTTATGCTATTAAGAATTTTCTAATAAATACAATAAGAAAATGTGTGGGGGGGAAATCATTGAAAGTTGAGGAGAAGAATGACATATTAATTGTTAAACTTTTCTTCCAAAAATAAAAAAAATATATAAATAAATAAAAAAATACTGGCAAAAATTTTTATTCTCAGCTTAAAATTATTTTGTCTTAGAAAACCATTTAATAATAATATTCATAAAAGTAGATAAAAGTTCTTAAATTAAAAAATCATTCAAAAAGTACTGAGTCCCCCTGTCTAGCTGAAGCGGATATGCCCGTCTTTAGTTTTAATTTCAATGGTATTTCTGGAATACCCAGCATCAGATAACCTTGTCCATACTTGTTTACAAATTTCCATATTTCATACGGTTCTATGTAAGTTTTTTTTGATGATGTCGAATCCTTAGATATCTACCAACGCGATTGTTTCGCTGACAGTCCAGTGAGCAGTCAGTTGCACGTCAGCTATGTTGTTTGTTAAAATTGAGTGAACCGCGCAATCGTGCAGTGCAGTATGGGAAATCTGCCCATTTGCCCTATTCCCGAGAGGTAGGAACAGTCACTAGTCTGCCTCCAATTCGGAGAAGCAGTTAACCCTAGAATTGGGGTCATTTTCACACCTAGCGAACTTTTATGTCTGCCAGCTCTTCTTTTTTTTCGCAAATATCTTAATCTTTTCTCGACTTTTCCTAAATCATTGCGATTTACGAAATAGAAAAAGAGTTTTTAAAAAATCGTATTTTTATTTTAGTCCTAACAAATGATTATACCTAGCAATACGGCAGGTGTCATTATGACCCCTTTGAGAGAAAAGAAATGTGAATACATTCCATTGTATTATCTGAACACTGTTACTTCTATAACTATTTTTATTTGCACATGCTAAACAAAATACAAAGGAAAAGAATATGGTGGGTCTGCGTAGTTTCACATCTGCCAGTCACATGATTTGAAATATGTGCAATACTTTTCTTTGTGAAAAGAAAATAGAGGAAATAGATTATTACAAGCTGAACGTTTGTAGATTTTTCGTAGATATTTTTGTTTATTATTTATAACAAGTTTAGTGGAAAATTTTATTCTATTTACATGAATTTATTATAGTGACGTACTAATGGCGCGTAGAAAAGGACTAACGCATGAAGAAATCGTGAAACTGATGCAAGAACTATCTGATGCTGATTCCGGTTTTGAAATCAAAAATAATTCTACAGATAAAGATGGAAATGAAACATCTTGTGATTCTGAATTTATTGTAGAGTAATCAGGCAATATCATTCTCTAGCTCAAGTGAAAGTACAAATGGATTTTTTTCTATGAGTTCAAATTTTGCCGTGCCTAAGAATGTCAAAGCGGGAACTAATAGACGCTCAAAAGGGGATATGAAATTCAACGTAATTCAGACTAACACTTGCAAAGAAATTGCTAGTAATGGAACTGCATGGAAAGTAGAAAATACTGCAAATTGCAAAATATCTTACTTCAACCCTTGCAAAATATCTTGCGAGAAAATGCAGGACCGACATCCTATGCTAAACGTCACATTTGTTCTGGTAAAGCTGTTAGTGCGTAGAAATTAATAATAAATGAAAAAATTTTACGCGTCATAAAGAAGTGTACTGATGCTGAAGCCAAGCGTAAACTTCATAATGACTCTTTCACTATTTTATTAGCAGAACTGGAAGCATTCATAACGTTGTTGTACGTAAGGGGGGCATTAGACGCCAAGGGGTTACCAATTCTTAGTTTGTGGTCCAAGACTTGGAGACCAAAGTTTTTTCATGAAACTCTGAGTAGCGATAGGTTACTGGAAATTATGAAATTTCTCGTTTTGATAATAAACTAACAAGGTCTTTTATCAAGGTAACAAGGTAACATTTGCAGTGTGATAAATTTGCACTAATATCCGAGGTATGGGATACTTTTATAGAAAACTGTAAGCTTTGCAAGAAACCAAATGAAAACATTAGGATTGATGAACAGTTTTTCCCTGCAAAAACAAGACGCCGTTTTTTGCTAACAAGCCCGATAAATTTGGAATAAAATTTTGGCTAGCAGTAGACGTTAGGACAAAATACTTATTAAACGGATTTTCATATTTAGGAAAAGATGAAATGAGACCAAGTGATCAAAGTTTAGGAGAGAACATAGTAAATCGTTTAGTTGATCCTTACAAAAATACTGCCCGAAATATAACTACAGACAGTTTCTTTAGATCGGTAAAACTTGCAAAATCCCTAAAATCAAAAGGATTGAGTCATGTTTGAACAGTAAATTGTGCAAAAAGAGAAATTCCCTCTAGTTTCAAAAATGTAACAAACAAACTTTTTTCTTCAGTTGTGATGAAACACGACTATATAACAACTACATCATATCAAGGTAAAAGGAACAAAAACGTAAATTTGTTAAGTACACTCCATTCATCAGTTGAATTTGAATCTAATGAAAAGAAGGTTCCTGATGTAATACACCTTTACAATTCTACAAAATTCGGGGTAGATGTTTTGGATCAAATGGCAAGAAAGTACTCCGTGAAAGCACCATCACGACGTTGGCCAGTACATGCATTATACAATATTTTGGACTTAGCGGGCATAAATGTGTAGATTCTGTATAAGGAAGTTACAATAGAAAATAGCAGCAGAAGGGATTTTCTATTGCGTTTGGCAGAAGAACTAAGAGAATATATATCTAATAAAAACATATTAGTTCTCTCTTTAAGTGGCTTTGTGGATGGACAGATTCAAAAAATCAAAAAAAAAAAAAAAAAAAGGAAGAAATGTCAAGTAAGGAAATGCAAAGATAACAAAACTTCTAATATTTGCGACAACTAATAAATACGGCGGATATTGTACACAAAGAATCAGAAAGATAGCGTGTGTGCTAATTGCTGCGCTGACTAATATATTATTGTAAATAAAATATTTCATATTTCTATTTCTATGAACTCTTATGCAAAAAGATTGTTTTAAATACTTTAATATTTGGATTAGAAACCACTTTTTTAAAAATGCGCGTAAATATTTATTTTTATTTTCGTTTTCGGGGGGGAAAAAAAAATTATTTCCGATGGATTTTTTTTTTTTTCTCTTCTATTTCTTAAAGCCATATTTTTAACTTAATTTTTTTATTTTAATTTTTTCCAAATATAATAATAAGAAAGCAGAATTAACAATCAAGTTGTGTCTAGCGGTGTGGGTTCAGTGAAGTGCATGACGCAACCAAAACAGACTAGTTCACGGCACAAACATTTATTTCTAACTCAACTCATAAGACAGCAGCGATGCGCTATTTACGCAGTTACATTACATTCTACTCTACTCTCGTTCACAGAGGTTCTCGGGTATAAGAGTACTGATACTCTCGAAATCAGATGCTACATCCCTCCCCACTTATTTAGAGATTTAATCTCTGAGGAGCTTTGCGGATGCGCGAAGAAGATCGTCTAAGTCCTGGCTGAGGTTGCTGCAACTCTTTATCAGGATCCACTGGAATGGACTGGATCAGTTTTCCTTGGAACTGACGATGTTTCAAGTCCGGCTGAAGTTTGCACAGCTTCACTTCTTTGTTCGATGTCCTTGTCCGGAGCCTGTGGCTTCACGTTGCCATCTGAAGTAGCAGCCATACGAGGTTCATAGATTACCGGTGCAGACGGAACCTCGCTCCCTACCGATCTGATCTGATCGACGTGCCGGCGCAGTAAAGTTCCTTGAACGTCAATGGTATAATGCAGCGCTCCATCCTTATTTGTCACTCTGCCAATTTTCCATCGGGAATTTGCCGATCTATAATCCCGAATGGCAACCTTTTCTCCGATCTCAAAATTTCTGTCTTTGAAATCATAAGTATTCCTTCGGATGCGTTCTTCCACTCTTCGTTTAAGATTTGGAACAACTAAATCAATTCGAGTTCTAATTTCTCTTTTTAAGAATAACATTGCTGGACTTAACAAGGTTGTCATGTTCGGTGCCTTTCTATAATTCATGAGGAATATGGCAAGTTTTTGCTTAATATTTCCTGGATAACCTTGCATTGCACGTAATGCTTGTTTAACGGTGTAAACGTACCGCTCTGCTTGCCCGTTACTTGCCGGTTTAAATGGAGCACACGTTTTGTGTTTAATTCCATTATTCCTTATAAAAGTTTCAAATTCCCCCGATGTGAAACTGAGGACCATTGTCACTCACTACTACTAAAGGCAGTCCGTATCTTGCAAAACAGTCTCTCAAACATTCAATTGTCTGAAAGGAATTTGTTGACTTTAAGGTATACACTTCTAGCCATTTAGAATGTGCGTCAATGATAATCAAGAACATTCGTTCAAAAATAGGGCCTGCAAAATCTACGTGAATGCGTTCCCAAGGCGCACTTGGATATTCCCAGTGATGGACCCTTGCCCTTACTGGATCTGATTTGAACTTAATACAATCGACACAGTTCCTAGAAACTTCTTCAATATCATGATCAATTCCCTTCCAAAAGACGTAGGATCTGGCGATTGCCTTCATTTTAACGATTCCTAAATGTCCTTGGTGTAACTCTTCGAGAATTTTAACTCGGAGTTTTTTCGGAACAACTACCCTCTGACCACTCATTATACAGTCATCTTGTAAGGTGTACTCTGCTTCCCTACCTTCCAAACTTTCTCCAGATTTTAATTTCATATAAAGACTATTTAATTCTTCATCAGCTCGCGTTTCCCGAGCTATCTCCCTAGCTGTTACCGGAAGAGTTTCAATTTGGGAGAGTTGGAATATTTCAACATCATCCTTAATGCTTAAATCTTCGGACTTAAGAGGCAGGCGCGACAGGCAGTCAGCATTACCGTGTTCCTTGGTATTTCGATACACAATATCAAACTGATATGCCTGCAATATCAGTGCATAATGTAAAAGTCGGGTGGCTGTGAGGATAGGAAGTCCTCTTTTCGATTTGAAAATAGCCACTAAAGGTTTATGATCTGTCACCAGAGAAAAGCGTCTCCCCTTTAGATATAGATAAAACTTTTTGACAGCCCAAACAATTGACAGTGCTTCTTTTTATCGATTTGGGCGTATTTCTGCTCTGTGTTAGTCAGTGTCCTCGATGCGAATGCTATAGGCCTTTCTGTTCCATCAGACAAAACATGCGAGAGCACTGCCCCAAGACCTACCGGAGATGCATCAGTAGCTAGCATTAACGGTAATGTGGGATCGTAATGCATTAAAACTCTGTCTGAACAAATTTCCTTTTTTATTTTTTCAAAAGCGATTTGGCAGTTTTTTGACCAACTCCATTTAACATCTTTTTTTGTTAAATTATTTAAGGGATGTGCCAAAGTTGCCAGATTAGGGCAAAATTTGGCATAAAAATTCACTAATCCCAAAAAGCTTTTGATGTCTTGGACGCCTTTCGGCGTAGGGGCATTAGCAATTGCCGAAATCTTTTCATCCGTTTTATGCAATCCATCGGCATCAATTTTATGCCCTAAAAATTTAATCTCATTTTGAAAAAATTTACTTTTAGTTAAGTTTAATTTTAGGCCGTGCTCCTTGCATTTTTTGAAAAATATTTCCAATGCTTTTAAATGAGACTGATCATCCGGTCCTGTCCTGTCACTCGAGCATCATCCATAAAAATTTTAATTCCTTCGAATCCCCTGAAATAATCCCTCAACATAGCGCTGCCAAATAGCTGGGGCAGCATTTAATCCATACATTAAGCGTTTACAAATATACAACCCCTTATGCGTGTTTATTGTTAATAATCGTTGGCTCTCCGGATGCACCTTCATTTGTAGATAAGCATGACTGAAATCAAGTTTCGAAAAATTTTTACCTCCATTAAGGCATGAAAATATTTCTTCGAGTTTTGGTAATGGATGCTGTGGCACTTCCAAATTAGGATTCAGAGTCACAGAATAATCAGCACAAAGCCTAATGGAACCATCAGATTTAACAATTGGCACAACTGGTGTTGCCCATTCTGAAGTCTCAACCCTCTCAATGATACCTTCTTTCTCAAGCCGATCAATTTCTGATTCAACTCTATTTTTTAATGCGAAAGGTACCGGTCGTGACCTACAAAATATTGGTTGAGTATTAGGTTTCAAATTTAGTTTTACTTCGTGATTGTTAATTTCACCTAATTTACCGTCAAAAATTTCCTTATACTCCTCAAGCAATTTTTTTTAAATTCAATTCACTAGAAGTTTTCAATGTTTTGATGGCATTCCAATCGAGATTGATTTTATACAGCCATTCTCGGCCGAAGATTGTGTCCAAATTTTCCTTCACAATGTATAGAATTTAAAACTAATTTTTGACCTTGGTATTCAACTTTAACAGGAACATATCCTAAAGGTACCACCTTATCACCCCTGTAAGTTTTAAAAAAACTAAATTTGTAGGCTGAATCTTTTTATTGGAAATTTTTCTAAATTTATTTATAGACATTACCGAAACTGTTCCCCCAGTATCAAGTTCCATGCTAACTGGTTTGTTTTCAATTTTAACTTGAACCATTATTGGCGGTCTTTTTGGCTCTTCCTCTCTTAACATGTGCGTTCTGGAGTTAAATCCATAGATGGGGACCTCATTTTTCGAATCATAATCATTATTTGCCTCAACTTTCTTTTGTTTAACCTGTCGGTTTTTCCTAGACAAATAACACGCCTTTTCGATATGTCCAATTTTTTTACAAAAGCGGCATTCACTTGTTGCAAATCTACAGTTGTTTTTATTGTGATTTGCTCCTAAGCAACGCGAACAAGTTTCATTTTTACCTTTTATTATTCTTAGCAACAAAGTTTTGTTTCCGCGGTTTGGACTCATTTTTCTTGGTTTTAAGTACCTTCAGTTCTACGGAATTTCCTATAATCTCATTTGCACCCTTAACCGCCTTTTCCATCGCCAAGGCTATCTTTAATGTTTTCTCTAAATCGATATCATCTTCCTGAAATAATCGATCTAAGATATTACGATCTCATAGACGATCTCGTAGACCGCTAACGAAAACATCCCTTAACATTTAACATTGTATTTAGCATATCCTCTTTATATTCACAAGGAATCGCTAACGAGCGTAATTCAGTGACATAACTACTAATTGATTCCCCCTCATGCTGTTTTCTATTAATAAACATGTGCCGACTAGGTATTATTAAAGCTTTAGGATTTAAATGATCCTTAAGAACCTTTTTTAGTTCGGTAAAATTTTTATCTGAAGGATTATCCGGAGAGAGTAAATTTTTCAACAAATTATACAATTTCGCATTCAAGCTTGAGATCAGAACTTTCCCACGTTTTGCCTCTGGAACATTTTGAATGTCCAAAAAAGCCTCAAATCGTTCTATGAACGAATCAAAATTTTCTACCGTTTCATCGAACTTATCAAAAGAAACAGAAATTTTGTCTTGTTTATGTTCCGATTTCTCTTGCAATGCGACCATTAAAGCTTCATTCTGCTTTATTAATTCTTCAATTAACTTCTCCATCCTTTCAAAATAAAAATCAAATAACTTTCCTACCTTTTGCAGTTTTCGGGGAATCCCCTTAATCCAAGTTTCGGTTTTGCTACTACTTACGCATGTAAACCCAGTGCGCCGAGTCGGGAACGATTTGCTTCTCACACAGCCTCGTCGCCAACTTTGTGTGTCTAGCGGTGTGGTGTGGGTTCAGTGAAGTGCATGATGCAACCAAAACAGACTAGTTCACGGCACAAACATTTATATCTAACTAACTCATAAGACAGCAGCGATGCGCTATTTACGCAGTTACTTTACATTCTACTCCACTCTCATTCACAGAGGTTGTCAGGTATAAGAGTACTGATACTCTCGAAATTAGATGCTACAAATACCACACTTATATACCCCATTTCCCCATAAATACGTCTCTTTACAAAATTTACCTTTACATTTTTAACAGATATTTTAGGGTTACCACTTGTAATGTTCTCCATCAAAATTGAGGCGGAGCTTAATAGTTAGTATGACAGTGCTACATTAGTGGTGCATAAATGGATATAAGAAATAAAGGTACTTGTGTATTGTCCTGTCAACCCTGAAACTGTCACCAAGCAGAGCAATTTATTGCAAGTTCTAGACAGGTGTGATGTAGCAGCATTCATAACATATGCGCTTTGGCTTGATATAACCCTGATTTATTCTTGATAAGCCACTTCCCCCCGATTTTTTTATAAACAAAGATATAAAGTAACTATCATTGTGCAATTTTTCCTTCTATTTAAAAAGAAAATGGTTAAAATTTCAGACTAGCCTTCTACGGAACAGCAAGCAGTGGATTATTTTCAAAGTTATGGGATCTTACCATCAAAAAAGTGTAAACTACGTTATAACCAGCTGAATATTGCTGACAAAACAGTAATATATTGGAACAATTACCAGCAAGAAGTATGTACTCATGGCATTTTAAACAGATCTTCCAGTAAAATCGGAAGGCATAATAACAAAATAGTGGAAATTGGCAAAAACCTTTTTACATGTTCTAGTAATGTAATGAGGTACAAAAACATAGCAAGTTGAATACTGGTTGTTTTCCTTCAGAATTCTGCAGAAACGATCCACCGATTGTCAAGACCTCCACCAATTTCCATAGTTTAACAGCAGATAACTTTAATGATCAACGGGATAATAGTAAGTACCAAAATAAATAAAAAGAAGCAACTATTTCAGTAGTACAATCAGCTTGAAATTATAATTTGGAATTCCATTATAGTGGAAAAAAAAATTGGTTTAATGGCATATTGTGTTCAATTTCATTGTCAATCCATACAGAAAGTTGTTTTCCCATTTCCTCTGTCATATAATTTCTAGAATGCATTATTCTAATTGAAGGTTTTTGTAATTGTAGTTGCTGATAATACTGTTTTTTCTTTATTTTTTAGAATGGTTTTTTGTAATTGTAGTTGCTGATAATACTATTTTTTCTTTATTTTTGAGAATAGTCCTTATTGTTGAAGTTGACAAGTTCAATGCAACATGAGTTTGACACTGACGTTCACCACTATTTAATCTTCGAAGCACTTGCATTTTAGTTTCTAGTGAAATTCTTTTTCTTCTTACTTTATTTTAGTGTTTTTTATTATCACCCATATTAAAAACTAAAAATTATAATATTTATCACTATTTCAATCATTAGGTTACATTAATTTAAACTTATGATAACAACAACAAATGTTTGAAATAATAAAAATATGTTTGTGTAGCACTGCAGAAGAAGTAATGTAGCTAAATTAATTTCTATTTTGGGGAAGCCCAATGCTGTGTGCAATTTTCAGGGAATCCTATTATTGCAATAAAAATATGTTAAACTGAAACAATGCTAAATGGACCAGCATTAATCAGGGTCTTACTGTACATAAGCGCCATCATGATAATCCTATTATTTTTATTATACTGGATATATTTGATCAATATCTATAAATGAATATTATTACAAAAGCAATATGAATCAGACAAATACTGTAAAATACATACCTTGATTGGTTCCAAGAAGAAACAATATGAATGAAATGAAACAATGCAACAGATTAATTTCATAAGCCAAATCAAATGGAGTAAATTTCTTCATCTGAGTATCTGATGAAACTGTGAAATAATGCCGCACTAACACAGAGCAAAAAGTTATATTGGCTTTGGAAAAAGATAAGCAAAAGTCATCAGTTGGTTTTAAATTGGATAAACCTTTTAGAAAAGTGAGATAAAATAAATAAAGTGTATGATCTAACAGTTCATTTTCATAATCACCATCGTTGCATAATTTCAGCAGTTTTTCACAGACAAAAAGTATTTGACTGGATATTGGAGTATTTTCTTTTAACAAAAAGAGGTGAATACTCATTTTAGAAATTTCAGTGCAAGTTTTCAGAAATTTCACTTTTTCATTTTTATCTTGATTCAATTTAGGTATCTCTGAAAACCAAAGCAAAAAGTTTTGAGAAAAACAAAATGATATTTTGGAATACTTCAGTAAAGCCTCTAACCAAGAATAAATAACTTTACAGAGTTTTAATTGGTGTTCAGAATCAGACTTTCTATTGCAAATTTTTGACCATATACTTTGTAAAAATTTTGTAATTTCAGCAGGATCACTCTTTTCATTTTTATGACAATATCTCATAAGAATGAGGGAAGTTTTGTCTTTGATGGCACTAAAGCAGTCTTCCTCGAGAAGGAGGAATTCAACAGCTTTGCATCGTAATTTAAAACCTACATCATAGTCTTTTAAATTATCCTCCATTTCCAGTGCTTTATTCCAGAAAAGCACATACATGCCTTTTACATACATATTTTTAACATCATAACAGTCTGCAGAGGCAGTGAAAAGTGATTTCAAGCTTTCAGCACAGAACAAGGCTGGGAGGTGCAAATCCTAAAAAGTGATAAAATCATCAACATGAACGTTGCTTTAACATAGATAAGTAATAAACAGCAATAAAATTCAAAAGAAATAAATACAAAGACGTGTTATTTTTAAATTAAGATTTAAAATACATTTTCCAGTTTTGTTGATAACATAACTGAATAATGAGAGCAAATATTTTCCTCTCCTTATTTATTAGGTAATAAGAAAAAATACCACATACAATCTACTACGTTCGGGAAATTATATTTTATACAGTGTTTTACAATTGAAACAATGTGATTGAGTCAGAATGCATAAGAAATTTAGGTATTCATGTTTACAGCCTTTATTTAGTTATTTCATAGATGGCCCCACTGAAATGCTGCTTTTAAATATACGAGGGTTGGAACTTTAATAGTGGCAACACAGCTGAAAAAACGCTACGCAACAAAACCGAAGAATATGGCGTATACCACACGTAAACTACATACCTACCTTACCACTCAGCAAAAAGACTCGTCCTGCTTATGTCACGCGCATGCGAAGTGACGCTAAGAACGAATCCTTGTATTAGCTTGCGGTCTAAAGTAAGTGTTGTCAGAATGTTTTCAAAACAAGAACAACGATATTGGATAAAAATTGAATGTGCCAGAGGTCGTACAGCACGACAGTGTCATCAAGGGCTTCAAGAGGCTTGCGGGGAATCTGCATTGCCTTACAGAACCATAGCAAGATGGGTGAAAGCATTCAATGAAGGACGCCAAAACGTGGCAGATATGCTGCAGCCAGGTCGTCCGAGTGTCAGCGAGCAGACGTGCAAGCTGTTGCCGCACTAATGGACAGTGATCGCCGCCCAACGATTCGTCAGCTGGCCGGACAAACAGGATTAGCGCATACAACTGTGCTGCACATTCTGAAGGAACGCCTGTCCATGAGAAAAACTGCTTCACCATACCTGCCAACTTTTACGAATTTTTCGTAATTTTTACGAAAATGCGTTTGTTTTTACGATTTTACGATCGTAATCCATTTTTTTCCTTTTTCAAGTGTTTTTAGTGATTTTTGCCTAAATTCTAGAATTTTTCGCCAATTCAGCGATTTTCACCAATTGCATCGTGTTTTACCGCCAACTACCGACTACTTCGAATCCATTAACCTGCGGTTTCTCCCAACTCGCCGCTTAACCAGCCAATCCAATGCGCTGAACTTGTTTCTCCGACTATTTTCTTTGTGAACACCAGATTATTTTTTCCGCGTTCGCTTCAGCAGCAAGGGAATTACTCAGCTCGGACTCAGCGAGCGTGGATTGTCGCATTCTGTTTCTGACTCCAAGATTGCTCAGAAATATGCTTGTGCTCGCACGAAAACATCTTCTATTGTGAACGAAATTGCTTGCGATGCACAAAGTAAAACGATAGCTGCACTCCAGAATTCAGCATTTTCGGTGTCTATCGATGGCAGCAACGACAGCGATTGGAAGCTTTACCCCATCGTTGTCACATATTTCTGTGATGTTTCTAATGAAATGAAAACTCGTCTTTTGCATCTTCCATTGTTAAATGGAAACGCTACGGGGGAAAATATTGCCTCCATGGTAATTAATGAGTTGAAACAACTTAACATCCCAATATCAAACTGCATTTCATTTGGTGCCATAATGATGCTTTAGATGAACTACAGAACCAATTTTCTGCTGCACAGTTTGAAGACTTTGCCAGTTCTGGAGAAGATAGACTTGATGTCCTCGTTGGTACCTTGAAAAAAATAAAAGAGCTGATGGAACACCAAAATATGATAGACTAGCAAGAGTTTTATGTGCTATTCTCGTAATTCCACACAGTAATGCTGAGTGCGAGAGAGTCTTCAGTGCTGTGAAGAAAAACAAAACTATGTTTCATTCTTCAATTTCACCAAAAACTCTAGAAAACATTTTAATTGCTAAATGTTATGAGGAAACTAATTGTTATGACAGGAAATTTTCCAAAGAATTTTTGGCTAAAGCCAAAAAATGCACTCTAAATTCATTGCAATAATATTTTTGTGTAACATTAAGTTCTTGTTTTATGTTTCCTAATAAATTTTTTAGTTACTACTTAATTGAGATTTACTAATGTAAGTATAATTTTCTTTTTTCTATTTGTATAAATTGTTATTTTTTTAACATCAAAGTATGATATTAATTCTTCGTGTTCTTCTGAATTTTGGAGAAATCTTCTGAATTTGGGGGATCTTCTGAATTTTTATCTTTAGAGGTTGGCAGGTATGGCTTCACGATGGGTTCCACATCAATTGACGGAAATGGCTATGATACAATGCTGCCCGAACCCACCTGAGCGCTATGAGCGTGAAGGAGATGCTTTTTTACGCCGTATCAATAAGCTGGATGAGACTTGGGCCCGATCGTACCAGCCAGAACTGAAGCGCCAATCAAACGGATGGCGTCATCACAAGTCACCACGACGTTCGAAATTTCGTCAGAACCCCAGCAATGTGAAAGTTATGGTGATTCTTGTGTACGACTGTGATGGTGTCATCCTAACGCATACCGTTCCCCCACAGCAGACCATCACTGCGCAGTATTACTGCTCATTTTTGGAGCACGATCTCCGACCAGCTTTGAGAAAAAAACGGCGACACTTTCTGCAGAACGCTCCTCTCATTTTGCACGACAATGCTCGGCCGCATGCAGCGCAAGCTGTGACTCATTTGTTCAAGCGATGGGGCTGGGAAATGCTTTACCATCCACTATACTCCCCAGATCTAAGCCCTTGTGACTATGCCTTAATTCCTAAATGAAGGAACCACTTCGTGGCACTCGCTTCCAAACTGTTCCATAGATTCTTGCGGCAGTAGACCGGTCCATTCAAACTATCAACAAAACAGGCGCTGCTACAGGTATTCTGTGACTACAGGTATTCTGACACATCATTGGAAACGGGTTGCACAAAATGCTGGCGACTATATTGAAGAACTGTAAAACATGGTGACATGAATCACTTTTGTATTCCTTGTAAATAAATAGTTGCCACTATTAAAGTTCCAACCCTCGTAGAAATAAATAACAACACATAAATGAAAATGATTCTTTAAATAATATAACTACTAAATTTTTTCAATTCCACTAAATTTAAATTTATTTACAAGGGATGAGTTGGTAATTTTTTTTCAAAAGCATTGCCGAACCATCAATATTTATTATAACTTGGCAAATATTATCAACATAATAAAGGAGAACAATTAAATATACAATTTAAAATACAAAAACAATGTTTAAAAGTGCAATTTTTTATAATGCAAGAATGCAAATTAAAAACACAAAAATAATACATTGAACATTATGCATAATGCACAATATATTACTACCATATTTCCCCTGTATACAGCGATCTGTTTTTACTTTAAGAAAACATCAGACAATTTCACCAACTTGACATCGTGCACATTAAACATTGCATATATTACATGAATTATTGCTTTTCTCCTAATGTACAAATTGATTTGTTTTTGTTTAAAATATCAGAAAATTGTAGTCTCGCACTGCATACCTTAAACATTATATATTGTATGATACATTACTGTTACCCCATGTACACAACAATCTGTTTTCATTTTAAAAAAGGGGGGTGGATTATTGCACAAACTCAGCATTAAGCACATTAAACATTGTACAAATTAGGATACGTAGCTTGTTCTAATATCCCGTAATATAAACTGTTGCTGTTTGCTGTTGATGATGACAACAATAATAATAGATTCCAAAGTAAAATTATAAAGAAGTGATGAAAAAGTAGATTTTCTAGATTAAAATCGTTATCTAACACAGAAATCGCGAAATTTGGCCGGCCTCTTATTCTTCACTTTGGCTAATATAAATTTCAGTAGTTCCATAATTCAGTAACAATAGCTTCATAAAATAAAAAAATGTCAGCAACTTTTTCATATTAAAAAGTGTGATAAAATGACCACAAAAAGAAATGATAAATAAATAAAAACTGTAAATCACATACTATATGATTACTGAAGTTTATTTAGAGGTATTAATTTCTATAATTCATTATTTTCAATTAGGAACTGAACAAAAAATGGATTTTAGTTACGTTTGCATTTAATCATAAATGCATAGTGGCTGACATTAAAATATGGAAAATTGGAATTTTCCAGAAGATTTTCATCCTGCAAAGAATTGTCATTTCAAAAGAATCCAAATGGCATTAATCACTTTTTAATTCATATAGAATTATAGTATAAATTCATGATTATTGAAGTTTATTTAGAAGTATTAATTTCTATAATTCATTATTTTCAATTAGAAACTGAACTAAAAATGGATTTTAGTTACGTTTGCATTTAATCATAAATGCATAGTGGCCGACATTAAAATATGGAAAATTGGAATTTTCCAGAAGATTTTCATCCTGCAAAGAAATGTCATTTCAAAAGAATCCAAATGGCATTAATCACTTTCTAATTCATATTATAGAATTATAGTATAAATTCATGTTATTGATTAGTATAATTCAGTTTACTGAACCATTTATAATATGATTCTGGTGCAAAATACATTACTATAAAGGGTGTTTATGTGTTTTTAGAATGATTTTAATAAAGAATTTTCTTTAAAAAAGCAAACATTTTTGGAATAAAAAATTTGTGCAAATGCTTATTATTTAAAATAAGCAATAATGTTTGCTACTTTTAGATTTATTTTTCTTTCAAAATATTGCATGTAAACAAGCTGTGGATTGAAGGATATGTTTCTGAGCTTTCTGAACAGAAATATTCCTATTCCATAATTCAAAAACAGTGTAAAATGCACAGTATTAAAATTTCTAACTGTAAAACAAGCAACATTCTTAATAAAGAAAGGGAAACCAGTCAACCATTACCTCTGCATAGAAACTTCAAACAAATACCCAAAGGCATGTACTGGTTTAATGTTTCTAAAGTTAAATTATTGAAAACAAGAGAAAAGCCGTCAGCAGACAAATCAATTACAAAGGTCTTAAAATACAAATGTAGCAACAAAAAGTAGAACAATAACAAAGATTTACAACTTGAAAAAGCTGAAATCATAATGTTCATCAGCTTTTGCCAAGCTATGTGGCTCAACAAAGAAAAATTTATAGAATAATGCATGAAAGATATTTAGCAGGAGATAATTGGAAATACACAGCAACCCTCAATGAAGCATCAGTTTACTTAAATTACTGGGAAAAAAAAGGCATGGGTTTACCTAAATTATTGAAATGAAAGTTTCAGTAAGTGCTTTATGTTTTTCGCAGGATTCTCTTACAATGGGAAATTAAGAATAAGAATTAAAATCAACTTTATGTATTGTCAAGAAAGTTTTACATCTGATATTCACAGAAGAAATTTCTTTCAAACAGTGAAACTTCTTTGAGACAAAGCAATAAGTCATACGTTGAAAAATACTGCTGCATTCCTTGAAAAAATGAAGACTGATACGGGTATTTCAACATATTAATGTGAAGTCCCCTGATGTTTAACTTATGGACTACTGTGCCTTTGGTCTCTTGAAAACTGCTCTTTCTAAGCACAAAGCTAACATGATTAATGGACTAACACGATTAATGGAAAACAGTGGACAAGGAATGGAAATCAATAACCCTGGAATTTTAAGAAAAGCTGTTCTGTATCCAGTGCAGATTTATAATCCAGAAAAGACGGTATCAGATTGGAAATTTAAAAAATACTCCTTACATTTTAAACATTTATCAAGTGGCTCCAAAATGATTCTAAAAATGTGTAAACAATCTCTGCATAATTTTTAAAGAACAACCGTACAGCTCACTACATTCTGTTTTCCCAGATATAATAAGCCCAGCTCTGGTCAGATGTGCGAAAAAAGATAGCAAGAAGCACCACAATCATAGTGCTTTAAATCGCTCTGCTGTTGCCGAGACTAGAGAAGGAAGTTCATAGGTAAAATAAATTTCATAAAAGTCAGTCTTGGGAGACAAAATGGAAGATGAGTGCCAGTTGTAATTTCTAAACTCAGAGATTTTCAGCTATAAAGTGATACATGCAGTTAATATGAATTTTACTTTTTCTCTTTTCTGGAAATTTATTGAGAAACACCAACTTAAGGGATTATAATGCATATGTACATTTTTTCTGAACACATTACACCTGTATCCATTACCGGCAATGTATCAAACACCAGCATTTTATACAGCACCTAGCATTTTTAGGGAAAGTATGAAATATGAGAATTATTTAATTTCTCAAGGCCCTAGATATTCTTTTGAATGACAAATGGTATTTAGGAAAAGTATGTAAAAAGGCATAAGGGTACTATTTAACAAATGGGCAGTCTTCAAAAACACAAATGTTATTTTGAAAAAAAAAAAAATAATGAAACATTGACATTAAAAACTTTTACTCAAAATAAAGAAAGAAAAATCACATTTGTACAAAACAAAATTTATGCCTTTCTTATTAAAAAATACACACTGCGTGAAAATGTATCGAATTATGGAATGACTGTGTTAAATTTATGAATAATGTATGAATGTATTAAATGTGTGAATTTTTCAAATGAATCAGAGATGTATTTCTTACTTTGCCAGATTGTCATTTGGCATTCTATAGAATCACTTGAAAATGTATGAAATGTTAATTATTTCATGCTTTACCGACCAGTTTTGCATTCTATAAAATACCTAGGTATTCTACAGAACACCTATGTTTCAAACATTGCCATATACAGTCAAAAGTCGTTAATTCGGACACCCATAATCCGGAATGATCTATAATCCGGACCTCAAAGCTAAAATCTTTCTGTGCATGCGCTGCGTTGACGCATGTGCATAGGCGTTTACACGTGCACGCAAGACCTTTATGACTGCGCATATGGGTGTGCGCAAGCGCAGAATACGTTTTCGCATGCGCGTTTAATGTATAACGGACAGTATAAGCTAAAATTATCTAATTATCTATTTCAGTTAATGTTGATGATTGCGTTGTTCCTTAATCTTCGAAGTGGATCCGCCTTATTATTTTTTGCAGACTGTAAGAGCAATTTTATAAAAGTAAGCTTGAACTTTCGATTATGTCAAATAAATTTCCGATGCTGGAGCTCCCAAAGGATCTACAAAACGAAAGTACATTTCGATGTCCATCAAACAAAAAGTGGAATTGCTGCAAAAAATGGATAAAGGCATATCCTTTGTTTATCTAACAGTTCCGAAATCTGTTTATCAATTTCACGCTGCTCTGCGGGGGGGGGGGGGGGGTCGCGCCGCGCAATGAACCGGAAGTTGATCTGTCAGCACTATCCTTATCTTCAGGGCAGATGTTTTTATTTTATTCAGCCTATAATTCCTTACTAAATGTAGTATTTCATCTCGATGTACTCCGTCTTTGATACGATTTAAATCAAATTCCTCGTCATTATAAATATCCCGAATACACATCGAATAGTTTTCTGGTTGCAATTTTCTAATTTCGACTGTGCGTAATGTATGCTTTACGCATGCGCGCGTTGAAAGAAATGTTTAATAAAGTAAACAAATAAATATTAAGCCTTTTTTTTGTAAGTTTTGATACGCTTTAGATCATAATTGCTCTTTATTTCATAAATTACAGTTTCATATTTTTAATTTTATAATTTCTGCATGCCATCTTACCAGATTTAAACTGATGATCTATAATCCGGAAAAAATCGATAATCCGGAATAGCTGAAGTCCCGACGAGTCCGGATTAAAGACTTTTGACTGTATATTAAATGCATAGATACAAATATATATTAAATGCATAGATTTAGAGAGTAAAATCAATAATACTTACAAAATTGAGAAAATTCTGGGTCAAATGATAGAGAATGGAAAAAAACTGACCATCTATCAATTCTTGATAACCAAAGTTATGTGTTGCAAAGTCTATGCACAGATTGATACTTGGAATCAATTTGAAAATGGATTGATGACCATCTTCTTTTTTTAATTTTTTACATGTTGACAGAAACTGGTAAATTGCTCTAAGTATTTCACAAACTACTGTACATGAAACAGTTCCAGCAGGTGAAGAGTTCAGGAGAACCTAAAATGTTTTCATAGAGATGAAATGCAAAGATTGGTAAAATACAAAAACTGCCTACAAGGTTTCAAATACTGTATATTTCCAAGTATAAGCCAATCTGTACATAAGCTAAAAGTGTGTTTTTTATTAAAATTACACAAAATTCAAAATCATGTCACTTAGAAGGTGAAATTGTTGCCAAGCAAGTAAAATGGGAATATATAAAAGAATTCATTTTTATAAAACAAGTAACTTGTTTCATTTAAAATTAACTTTCTCATTAACTGAAGAAATATAAATTTTAAAAAATAGTGCTATATTTGTGATTTATCGCTTGCACCTGGTTTACAGAAAAGTACTTAAAATTGGTTGTGAAATTAGTAGATTAACCCCCATAATTTAAATTTTAAAATGTTCCAAAATTTTTTGTCTTATACATGGAAATATATGGTAAATAAATAAAAAGCAACATGTTTTACATGCACATATGCACATGAAGATCTATAGGACACATATGCATTATTATTAACCATAATTTAATAAAAATAATTATAAAACAAATTTGCAAATAAAATCAACTTCATAAAATTTATCAGGTAGCATTAAATATTTTACCCTTATACTAGTTGGACATATTTAAACGAAGATTAGTGCCACTTTATTTACATATAGTTTTACTAATAGTTAGCTTTACGTCGATTTTTTCTTTTTCATTTTGTCACATAGTTCCTCGGTTTAGAGGTTTAGTAAATAGCAGGTTAATTTTATGTAACGGCATAGGTTAAAATGAGAATTAAAATCATAATCAGCATGATTCGTTACAGAAGAATGGCTGTTGCCACTGCTGCTGCTTGCCTAGAGAGAGGCCTGCTGATTAGAACAAACCTAAAAGCCTGATGGCACAGTTGACAAGTTTTGAAAGTTAGTTGTGCTCCATCTGTCTGATGCAGCTAGGGCTATAGCTTCATGTAGAGTTTCTGGGATTGTAACCCAGTTAAAATATTTTAAGATTCCAATAAGGCACTAAAGCACCAGAGATGATAAGTTGTTTTGTATTAAGTCTCACTAGATGCAAAGAATCAAATTTTGCATTAACTTTTACATTTTGTGCTGCATCTTCTGACCATGATAAAAATTAATGAAAGGCAATAACTCCATTTAATTTGCAGAGATAACTTGTGACCAGTTAGTTACAAGTAATTTAATTAGCTAGTTAGTTATAGATAGCCCTTAGTCATTATAGATTTGCATGGCCACTATTAACTTATATTTAATTTTTAAAAACATTTGTTTTTAAAAAGCACTTTTAAAAGAGCATTTATGTTTAAAAAAGCATTTTTAAAAGTACTATTAAAATCATAATCTAATAATATTTCACAATTAATGCATGTAATTTATCACATTGATTCTTAAACAGTATTAGGATAATTCCACTTTAAAAACTTCAGAATATAAATGTTTTGTAGCAACAACACACAACAAAATATTTATGCATCTTTTTAATTTGAAGTCTTTCCAAACATTTTGGCTTAATTTATATCAATTTTCTTCTCTTAAAACATCTTTCCTAATAATTAAAAATCTGTTTCAGTATACAAACCAATGTTCCCGCTAGTTTCTGTGTGCTTTATCTCCTAATTCGCCAGTCTCTTAGCAGTGTACGTAACGAGGTTCTACTTGATCTGGTAAAAGTTAAATAGTCCAAAACCTCTTATAGACATGAAAAAAATGATCGCTATGTCTGAAACTACAAAGTCACATGAAGGTTTAAATAAAACCCTTTATTTAAAAACAACTTAGAACATACAGGCATGTTCTTATGTTGACAAAATCAACTACAGCTCATGGTGATGCAATTAAACAGGAACAAATTCAAACTAAAAATGTCACCTAGTAGTCAAAAACTACACAATTTAATTTTAATCTAAGCTGGCTCAGTAACTCTATTGTCGTAATAAATTCAAATCTTAGCAGCAATAACGCAAAGATGAATAATTACAAATTATCAGAACTGGCAGAAACTAAGGCAACATCCGAGTGGAGGGCAAAAACACTCTGTCTTACAATCCAAAAACCTCAGTTTAAAACCTATCTGATTTGCATTATGGTGAGGAAATGAAAAGGGGAAAGGCTACAATTATAAACAACTGGTTAATTTGCATAATAATAATGGTACATCTCTTAGAAGAATAATTTCCTTTGTCTTTATGTATTCAGTTTCTTTCTTCTATGCCTTTCCTCTTCATTTTAAGATTTTTGGAATTAAGGATTTCTATTATTCTAAGAAACCAAATGCATTTAGAATGTAAAGAAGCTGAACATTCAGAATAAACGTGAAATGGTATATGGTAAGGGCTGGTTTCAGAGCCAATGAGGCAGAATTTTTAGAATTTAGTGACACACTAAAGCAACAAAATCTAGAAATGGCAAAACTTTTTAGAATTTAGGACAGGCACTGGGAGCAGAATTTAGCACTAGGCAGCGTAATTTAGGAAGGCACTAGGCGGCAGAATTTAGGATCTACACAGATTCGATCAGGTGGGAAAATACCTAGTTCTAGCCCTGTGTGTAATCCATTGAAACATATAAGGTGAATCTTTTAAATTGACAGTTTTCAATTTCTTTAATAATAGAAAATTCTTTTTTATAAATGCCTGTCCGTGCTAAAAGATTATAAACATTTTTGACATTTTCTATACTTGTATCTAGTGAAAAGTTGAGAAAATAAAGGGAAGATAAACATATTAAGAAAAAGACTTCTAGTATCAGAAGTACAGCATTCAAACATTATGTTTTCATTGCCTTTCACAAAATTCTCCAAAATGTATGAAATTCATAACACATTATCTGTATAATACATCCATTACATGTTAATACAACGAAGACATTTTTAATTTTGTCACATTTTTCTGGAGCCTTCTAGAATTGTGGGTCTGTAAATCTTGCCTTCAAATCCTAAACTTTCAAAGTTGCAATGTTTAAAATCCTAAAGAAAATTAGCCCTACCAATTCTGTGACAGAAAAAAGGGCAGAAATATTTTGAAAAGAAATTTTAAAAAAATCAGTGGAAAAAGCGTAAAATTAATTTTATAGAGAAAACTGATGCATATTCTGACAATTCTGAGATACAAAATGGAAAAATTCGTGGAAATTTCTGTCTTGTTTTTATTGCAATTCTAAATGGAATTTTCATGAAAAAATGAAAAGGACATTTTTAATTAATTACATAGCTACTGTGCCTTTGTTATGAATTGTTTTTTTAACACTTTATAACACTTGTTATTTTTCAGATTCAAAATACTGTATAGTATGTCACCAAAATGGAAGTAATGTCACTTAAAAATATGATGGCTAAAAAATAAAAATGTTTTATTTTAATGTTATTCCTTAAATATAATTACCACTTAAATATATTACCATCACTTTAGTTAAATTTATCAATGTTATAACGTTTCAAAAAAATCGTCGAAAAATTCCCAGATCTCTGAATTAAAAATTTTCTATAGAAATTTATCTTAAAACCGCCAAAATGTTGATAAGTCGCAAATTTAGAGCCGTTTAATAAAAGAATTCACATCCCCAAAAGCGGAAAGTTGTTTAAGAGCTCTTCATTAGAAAAATAAAAAGTGAAATAATTTTGAAACGCTTATGTTTGGCTCCTTGCTCAGAAACTCCAATATCCCACCCTTTATATTAGAAATAGGAATAAATTATAATCCATGAACGCATTCACCCATTCAAAAGATAATCATATTTGTCAGTGAATCGTCAAAAATATTACTCCAAAATGATAATTCACACTCAAAATAGCATTCGTAAAAAAAAAGATAGAAATTTCAGATAATTAAAATTAAGGACCTTCTGCCGATTTTGTTCGAAATTAAGGACATTTAAGGACCAAAAATAGATTAAAAAAAAACTCAAGGACTTTTAAGGACCATACGAACCCCATTCAAGAGAAGAAATAATCATATCTGTAACTAAGGGAAAATTTTGCAGACTGGGGCTAAACAATTTTTGTTCGTGTGCCAAGAAGGAAAAATCATTTATGTCCAATTTTCTTTATCAGGCTTTTTCATGTTCATTTATTGACAACCTGTTGGTTTCATCCACTAGTTTTTCAGTAGTGCTTGTGAATATAGAAAGTGGAAATTCCAATGCAGGCTTTGATTCAGTGGTCAAGTTTTCTGCAAAGACGAGGAAGAGAACGGAGAACCCACGAAGTTTTTAAGAGTAACCACATGCGAGTTGGGAACCTGACTATGCAAACTTTTTCAATGCTTTTTTTTTTTATTTCTGACAGTGAAAAACAATGAATTCTTAAAGCTTTTGTAAATGATGCACTGATATTCTTATTTGGGAAATTAATAATTTTCACTCAATGTATAATTTTATCAAATGTGTTGCTTTTAAGATGACAATGTAATGATGTGCAAGTCTATATAAATGCTTTTGCTTCATTCCTTGGCATTCCAAAAATCGGGTTCCAAAAATTTGAAAAGCTCTGGCTGTTAACACATTAACTGCCAAGGAACATTTTCAAAAACAGTTCCACCATACCAACAAATTTTAATTAATTGTAAAATAAAAATACAAAACACGTGTTTATGGGAAATATGTTGAACTTAGATACATTTTTAATTGCTTTATTAATTTTACGAGTTATATTGTAGTCGGTTTTTGCGATAAAATGTTTTATGACAGCTCCAACTACAAGTATACTTGTAACAAGCATATTGGTAGTTGGTGGTTACTTTTACAAGAATTATTATAAATTGCTCAATTATTTTTCAGTTCTATGTTAATTACTTCATAATTACTTATATTATACTTATATTAATTATAACAAATCTCTAATTGTACCAAATTGTTGTTTCTTTTCTAATCCCCAAAGGCAAATACCTTCAAAGAACATGAAAATGCTATAAGTTAGATCGCATGTGGCATAGGTAAAACAAAAATGCTCTACAAATTAACTCATAGCTGGTGCCTAAACACAAACTTAAACCTACGTGATAACT